CCCTCTATGCGAAGCTGACTCTCTTCATAATCGCCAAATCCTGCCTCGGAAACCCCGCCGAGAAGCAGGTCATACGCGAAACCGCAGGTGAGACCGAGACTCCAGACGAAGCTCGAGTTTCACGCGATTGGGGGATCGACTCTCGATTTTCATCCTTGCCCTTTACAGCTGTGATCTACAGTGTCTTATCCCGGAAGGACATGACAGCCTTGTTCCGCCTGCCCCCAGAGCAAAGGGCGGAGCAGCTCGACGACATCCAGAAGACGGTGGCAGGCATCCGCCTCTACAACAAGTTCCGGGGGAAAGGCGGCGCGAACATAGACGATGGTGAGTGGAGGGCATCCGCGGTGAACGGAGGGCATCGGCGGCGAGAGGAGGGCATCCGCGGGAGAGCTCGGGATGCAGGCTGAATTTCGCGTCGGTCAGTTCCAGGGATCGTGAGGAAAGCGGCGGATGCCGGGCTGGCGGCGCTCAAGGAGGAGACGGAGCGGTTCAAGGAGATTGCGAACAAATACGCTGCCATCGTGGAATTCCACAGTCTCGTGAACGAGGAAGAGTCGGTGGAAGACTGCCTTCAAGTGCTCAAGGCCTTGCTCATTAACGCTCGACAGTACCTGGAATACATGCAGTGAGTGTCCGTAACGACGACGAGGAATCTGAGGCCTTCGCCAGACGCATTCAAGCCTTTTTCCTCCTTGCAAACGTGCACGTGCACTGAAGGTACTCTTTAGAGAGCCCCACTCCAAGAAAAAAAGGGAGGTTCCTCCGGTAATCCCCTTAATGTCTGCCTGTCTGTATGTCAGCGCGGAATTTCCCTCCACTTTTGCGGGGATACGAGTACTTCAAGCTTCGAGTTTTTACCACGGCCTCAAGCTCGGATAATTTTTAAATGTATCTGTTTAATTGGAGACATTCCTCCAATGACTTCACGACAAAATGAATAGAAACACCTGTAAGTTCTCGCGCGGCAACATGGAGTGAAGTATATTTATCAGGGATAAGGGGAAAGGGACAGCCCTGGCTGTTCCTTTCCCA